TCCGTAAGTATAAAGTTTCCATCAGCTCCAAGTTTTGAGAAAAACGTGGTGAAAGTGTCAAAAAAAAGCGTTTTTTGCAATATTTTAGAAGTTCTAGCAAGGAAACAAAAGGTGATGGAACCTTCCACTTAGGCCTAAATAAAAGCTAGAACTACAGACTACTATCCCTGAAAATACTATTCCTGCACCTTGCCCTGATGGTCACCTGTACCCAATTACTTTTTATCGTCCAACAATAAAAAAAATACTGGAAAATTATGCAAGTGAATAAAAAGTGTGTAAAAATTAGTGTTAGCTGTTCAATAAACGACTATAGGTGACCTTGGGGTCAAGGTGCAGGAATGGTATTTTCAGGGATTGAAGTCAGGAGTCCAAGCCTTTATTTAAGCCTGTGGAAGGTTCTATCGCCTTTTGCTTAATTGCGGTAGGTACTCAAAATTCCCAAAATCAGTTTTTCCTGTTCATCAAATTACTATAAGTGGCCATCAAGCAAAGTTCAATCAAGCAAGCGATTTTTTGACGCTTTGACCTCGTTTTTCTTAAAATCTTGAGCTGATGAAAACTTTATGCTTACGGGTTCGTAATCAGCACAAAAAAATTGTCAAAAATATTAATTAGCCAATACCCGCATGTTTGCGGCGCCTTCAAACACCTTTCGAACGGTAAAACAATGACTCAATTCTATTCTACGCATATCTATAATACGGGTATCGAATTTCAAGCGAATCGAACCATAAATAAGATTTTTTCGAATAGATCGTTCCCTGGCCCCCTTAACGGAAAAAATTGATCCTATATGCTAATCTAGGCAAAAGGCTACCTACGTACCAAATGGATTTTTTTAGCGTAGCTCGATCCTTTAGGAGCAAATTGTTTCACAATTATCCGAAATTTTCCAAGCTTCACAACGAATTTTCCACCTTTCTTATTATTTGGCGCTGTAACCGCCTGAGCGATTTCCACCTTTACATCGTCCGAAATCATCAAATAATGCAATAAAATGCAAAATTTTGGTAAAAAAAAATTTCGCGTTCTTCCGGGTTTTTCCCAGTTTTCCACTTAGAATTTTCCATTCGAAAGCCATTCCGAAGGAATCGCACATACAAAAAAATCAATTTCGATTTTTCCAATTTCCCGAATTCGCCGGAGGATTTTCCCAAAATTTTCTTCCGTAAAAACCTTCTCCTGGCAATTACGAACATCTAAAAAAATAAAATGTTTGCCAAATCTGACAAACCGTTCTCAATTGATGAACATTTTTCACACCATTTTTATATATATAGATATGCAAGTGTAAAGATGATCTCTTATTTTTTAACTTTTGTAAAAATGTCTGTTTTTAGTTTATTTTCTTTGTAATTAGCTTTTTAAACTGATATGAAATAAAGACATTTATATTTCTTTGGTTAAAAACACAAATTAATTTTTATTTCTAGTATCCGCACTAAAGCAAGACTACAAAACTAGTTTGTTACCATATTTAAATTTATGGTAGTAATATCTCGAGATATCCCGGGATCCCTGGATTACCAATTTAAGATCCCAAAATCCCGTGATTCACAAAATGGTCCGGGATTGGATGCCTTAGTCGCAAGTTAACGGTTGTTTTCAGAGGCTGGGGCAACAATACTAAAGCAGATAAAATATATATAAATAATTGTTTTTTGACCTTTGACAAATAAATTGAATTGATGTTAAACATATATGTCGAGGGCTTATATTCAATACCCTCTCTCTGCACTTCTCACAAATGAGATTCTGAAAAATCCACCTAAGGCTTAATTGGCATCGGTTATATTAATGCTAACCTTGTACTATAACGCTTGACAGAAGAATTTACATTAAATTGCAAAGTCAGAATTAACATCAGTGATGTCAGGTAAATCCCAGATGGGACTTACAAACATCACAAAGTAGTTTTTGTGAAAATTGCAGATATAGGGTATTGAACATAAGCCCTCGATATATATTTAGATGTGTTCTGGTTATAATTATACTAAACACTAAACTTACAAATAATTTATTGAAAACATCGATGCATCGTTCATAAACATCGATATTTTTGACATCGAGGTTTGGCTCTTGAAAATGAACGATGAACGATGTTGCATCCCTACTTGTTTCTAGATGGCTTAAGATGTATATCAACAAATTATATCAAGAGTTGGCGGGTGAGTCAAAGAAACATTTTTCTTCACGCGTTCCTCACGCCACTTGTATCTGTATGCAGCTCTCAAGAAAAGCAAGAACTCCATGTAAAATGACGTACAAGGAATAGCTAAGAAATTTTCTTGTGTACAATTTTCTTGGGGCAGTACGCAGTTCTTAAGAAATTTGCTACGCTTTCTACTAACTCTACTTTCTACTTTTCTAAAGTTTTTTGTGAAAAAAGAGCAAAAGACAACCCATGATTGCAACAGAAATATGTGCCCGTTCCATTATTTCTTGAGGAAAGAGTGAGGCCACAGGCTGGTGTAGTATCACATGTCAAAATTCCTTGGACACACACACGAAATAATGGCAATTTTTATCTTGACCGTTTTCTTGAGAGCTGCATACTGGCCTTGTACCAAAAACTAGCATAAGGTCAGGGTTACCACTGACAAAGAAAAGCTCTTACCATCCGCTTAAAAAAAATCTACCAAATCTGGAAAATATCAACCAATAACTTTTGGCTGAGTTCAAAAAAGCACGCCCAGTCGTTTCTCTTCCTTTCTCCACTTGGCCTTTCCATCGCAGTGGGGGCGTCCCTCTGCCTCTGCTACCACCAGCGGGTTCCAAGTTGAATATTTGCATAACTGGATCTGCGGAGCCACTGTATTTTAATTCGCTGCAATATGTCTATGTCGTTGTGAAGCTCATACAGCTCATCATACCATCGTCTGCGGTTCGCCGTCGCTAACGCGTAAAGGCCCGTAAATCTTCAGCGAAATCTTTCTCTCGACTACTCCAAGAGCCCCCTAATCGGATGTTTTTTTTTGGTTATTTTAATAAAACCTATAGGTCTGATATTTTTTATTTAATTAATTATACGGTATTTGAGATCATATTAATGGTATAGTTATTCTCAGTTTCCTTCAAACAAAAAGCGAAAAACGAAAGGCAAACACGAAAATTCATCATTTAGAAAAACTTTAACTGGAGTTATAATAGACGAATACAGTGACTCAAAAAACCGCTTGGTGATTTTTTTAGTATTCACAATGTTTTTTAATTAAAAATTGTTTGGTATTTGCTTTTAAGAATATTGTTTGCGCTTTAACCAAACCCCTAAAAATCAAGGATTCAAGCTAACTACAGCATTTAGAAAAATTGAAAAAATGTTTGTCTATATTTCGATCTTTTGATTTTTACTCTCTTACTCTTATAGCCCATAACATTTGAGTAGATAACCAACAATGTGCAGCTAAAAATTCTTGTTGATTTTGTTTTGAATTTTTTTGCAACCAGTCTTTTTAGGTTTTTCATTTAACTATTGCCATTGATAAAAATGGCGTTGATTTAATTTTGTTTGCGAACAACTATAGTGCGTAACTACATACCTGTCCATTTTTTCTTTTTATTTAAATAATCATTTAAAATATTTAGGCAACAAAAAGCTCCTCGGGATTCCATTAAAATGAGTTTTGAATGGAGCATATTATGTTCGCCTTTTATCGATATACATTTACGCAAATGTATGTATATAAAAAGTGCGCACTAAAGCGCTTGAAAATTAATACATTAAAGTAGACTAAACTTTTGGAAAGAAATTTTTTAATATAAAGATAACTACGAAAAAGAAAGCGGGAACGGAAAGTTTTATTTGTTTTTCAAACAAAATAATAAAAAAAAATTTAGCAAAATGAGAAAAAACTTATCTTATGCCAACCCAAATTTTTTCTACCAATTTTGGTAACAATTTACCAAAGTGGCAACCCTGCATGAGGTGCAGAGTACGTGCAGAATGCATCCACTTGTGTAGATCTCTGGCATGATGCAATAATACAAGCTTGATACTGCCTTAGCTCAGTAGAATAAGAAGAAAAACGGGAAGAAATTAATCTCCGTTTGGGGGAAAAATATAAATTTCATATTTTCTACAAAACAAAATTTGCTTTTTTATAGTGTATTCGTAATGAAATGAAATAAAATAACGGGATGTACATAGCTCAGTGGTTAACGCTTCTGACTTTGAACATCGAATACGCAGGTTCGATCCCTGCTGAAGTCTAGAAAAAAGAAGTCTGATGAGGAGATGTGGTGATCTCGGAAATAGTGCTATAACTTCTACCGCTTAGACTTTGTTGCTTTTTCAATTTTCGTGGTACAAAGCTCAATAAAAATATTAAAAAAATATTTAAAATGAAATAAAATAAGTTAAAAAACCTTTTTAAGAAAACAAAATGTGTATACTGAGAAAAAAGTAAAAAAAAAAACATTCAACTGTATTATTAGGCAAAGAATTGTTAAAGAAGTAACACTACCTAAGGCAGTCAATATGGCGGAATTAGAGCGAGAAGCTGCCAGTCTATAACACCTTGTATTATTGCATCATGGATCTCTGGTAGATAGTTAATTAGCACTCGGTCGGCCGTCTGGTTGCGATGCGTGCAGGTGGCGGGGAATGAGCGCTTTTGCCTCGCTGAAGGTGCCATTTACAAACGTTCCACATGCAATGACAGTCAAGCAGTTAGATGTTGGATTGATTGCTAAATAAGAGATATGCAAAATAAACTTACAACGATCGGCCATTCGCGACATATGTAGTATGTTTTGTATTTTTTATAATGTACTTAAATGTATGTGTATATTTTAAACCATAGGGAACACGTTTCACTATTTTATTTCATTATGTTTTAAACAATTCTGAACACGTCAACTGAGTAACTAAATATTAACATTTGTTTATTGTTTTCAGTTAATATCGAAAGCTTAACTGTTTTGTTTCACTATGTTTTAAACGATTCTGAACACGTCAAATGAGTAATTAAATATTAACATTTGTTTATTGTTTTCAGTTAAAATCGAAAGCTTTTGCATCAAAGAATAAAAGATAAAAGCAAAATGGCTTCTGGAGGCTTAACGTGTGTAAAGTTTATTACATTTTTTTGTAATTTACTTTTTGCTGTGAGTATTTATACCATTTATTCATTTGAAATACTAACTCATAGGAACACTTTTAGTTGACAGGTCTGCTCATTCTCATCGTGGGCGCTACGACGCAGCTAAACTATGCGCACTATTCGAATTTCGTCAGCGATCATATCTGGACTGTGCCCATCATTTTAATCATTGTTGGCGCTATAATAGCATTCATTTGCTTCCTTGGCTGTTGGGGCGCTTTGCAGGAGAATAGTTGCATGATTTTGTCATTTGCCATTTTGGCGGTTATTATATTCATCTTCGAAATCGGTTTGGGCATAGCTGGTTTTGTTAAGCATGCAGCTCTGAGCGATATAATGGAGGGCCAATTCAACTTCACCATGAAGGAATACAATGAACGCAAGGAAAATAGGGATGCTTGGTCACTTTTGCAAAGTGAGGTATGTATGCAGGCGGTCTAGAGGTTTATCGCGCCATGTGCTCTTCAAAACACTATTTTTAAACCCAACTCTCAGAAAGGTGTGTACAGCTTTTGGGCGTAGGAAGTGTATCTGCTCATACTGTGACCACCTTGAGACCAACCTCCATTTTAGTCTTCTAGATCAGGGATGGGCAGATGTTTGGCTCTTAAAGCAGTCAAAGACCCAGCAAGTGCTACTCAAGAGGTAAAGCAGTTCTCAGGGTGAAGAGGGTGTTAAAAATACATTACAATCAAGAATGATAGAATACAAGATTGCGCCGATCAGAGAGGATTTTTGAGAATAACTTTTGTGTGACGTCACACTGGTGCAATTGCGAGAGAGAAATGCCAAAACGTGAGCAAGAATGGAAGAAGAAGAAAAAATGTTGCAAGGAAAACGTAAACAAGTTGCACAAGTGTGACGTCATGCAAACAACGATTCTGTCAAATTCGTTAAGAGAGGGATAGCGGTCCGAGATCGGCGCAACCTTTGTATTCTCTCAATCGTGCATTACAATCATCATACATCCCCACTTTCATGATCTTCATTGCACAGCAGCTGCTAGGGACAAAACGATACCAGTAAATACAAGTACATACTCGATACTTTTCGTCCGATACCAAGCAATTTTGGTATCGATACTTTTGAACCGAGGACTGAGTAGGTATCGGAAGATAGTTCTTGTATCGAAACCCGATTCAGTAACAATTTTATTCCCGGACTTTTATTTTTAATTCCAATTTTTATTGTGAATAGTTACAAATTTTTGGCAGTTTAGTTTCCAACGAAAAGAAAGTCCTACAAAGAAAGTCCCATTATCATCTAATCTAAGTCCACTTTCTGTGAAAACTCATATTTGGCTATAGGAAGCAAGATAAATTAAAAACGGATTAACGAACGTGCTTGTTTTATTTCTGAAACATTCTCTTTGCCCTCTACACACAAACACTAAAAAGAGGGCGATCAGAAGGCAACATTTCTTGTAGAAACGAAATATCCATTAGTCCAAAAGAGGCACAGAAAATTTGATAAGCTAACAACAAATTCTAAATATTTTAATTTGCTACGGAACTTCTTGCGAAATTCTTGAAGCAAATGTTTTAAAAGATTATTTTTCTCTCCTGTAAAATTTCTACAAATGGACTTAGCAACCTTTCACTCTAAGCTAGCCATATGAATGCATGCACTACATTATAACATTGTGCTCCAAAAATCATCAAGATTATTACTTCTTTCAGAAATATACCATCGTTACTCTGCAAAAATGCTGTTGACCAGTGTTATAATACAAATAACTTTTATTAGTTAATTTGGATGAAATACATTTTGAATATTCTCTTTGTACAAAATAAATAATTATGTATAACGAATAACATACGTACATAAAAAGGAAGCACATTCTGTTAACAAAATTCTGTGGGGATTTTACAAGACTACATATCGGATTTTGCACCTTTTTCTTGTTTTTGTTTTGTTTTAAAACTTAAAGTTTTTCTTAAAAAGATTAAGTACCATTCTTCTAAAATCAAAAATGATCGTCACACAAGTTATTTTGACAAAAATTCATAGATATGTGATAGCGTTTTTTAAAAACAATTCTTATATATGTACAAATATCGATATAAGTAGGAATCGATACTTTCAGCCCGATACTAAGACTGCTTTTACACAGTTCAACTATTGAATTCAATTCTGCTCGCATGTGGAAGAGAGGGGGTGAGAAGAAAAGGGACGAGTACACATGCGTCTGTACCGTCAAGTCGTTTCAACTTTCTTGCTTTGCTTTTGGCATTTTCGTTGCTTCCCATTTAAAGAACCAAAAACTTGAAGTCAACAGAATTGAAACGTCTAAAAGCAAATAGAAAACACAAAAGAGAATGAGCAAGAATTGCTTTCAAGTACTTGAATCATGTAAATCGGGTGTAAGTAGGTATCGGAACTTTCTTTCGATGCTACTTCCAAGTACAGGGATCGATGCTTCCATGGTATCGTTTTATCCCTAGCAGCTGCGGAAATACTAAGACTGCTTTTACACAGTTCAAGTATTGAATTCAATTCTGCTCGCATTTGGAGGAGAGGGGGTGAGAAGAAAAGGGACGAGTACACATGCGTCTGTACCGTCAAGTCGTTTCAACGTTCTTGCTTTGCTTTTGGCATTTTCGTTGCTTCCCATTTAAAGAACCAAAAACTTGAATTCAACAGAATTGAAACGTCTAAAAGCAAATAGAAAACACAAAAGAGAATGAGCAAGAATTGCTTTCAAGTACTTGAATCATGTAAATCGGGTGTTACAGTCAACAGCAAATTCAGCATCTCTCAAAAAGGAAAATAATTATCATATATACATGAGCCGTGATGGACTCTGCCACAAACAAGCACGAGCTAAAACTGAGCAAGTGTTAGTGTGCCTAATTCAGTTTCATTCTCAGGGTTGCCACACAATTTTTTAATTTTTTACAAAAACTCTAAAAAAAATTACCAAACTCAGAAACATTTTTTTTATTTTTATGTAGATATTTTTTTTGGCGGCGACCGAGCTTAGATTTTTCGAGAGACAGATAAGGTTTTTCCTCTTTTTTGTGACAAACCCCAAATTTGCATAAATATTGCATAATAGTAAGTTAATATTTTAACATACATATGTATGTCATTTTATTCATAATGAAAATACATATGAGCATAATTTGAACGGAAATCTACATTTATGTAAAATATTCATACACAGGTTTATATGTATAAATATTTGAAACATTAATTTAGCTTTGAATTCAACTTTTTTGTAAAATAGATTTTGCATTATTTGGTGATTTATTAACCGGTAAATTAAATTACGTTTAACAGTACAAAATATCTTTTTAAAAGAGTTTAATTTAAAAATTTGTAAATCTTTATTTTTACAAATTATATGAAAAATACGTAGCTGAACTGGGTCGCAAAGGAGACCTATTATTACCGAATTTAAAAATTGTGGCTACTCTAGTATGATTGCTTCAATTTTAATGGCAAGAGCGCACAGAAATGAGCACCTCTTTGACACTGAATCACTCACCAAAAAGGGGTTGTGTTGAAATTTTTTGTGATATTTGGTACTTTTAAAATAATGAAATACTTTCGAGCGAAAATGTATGTGTATATATGCTTATATGTACATATACATTGCAGTGGGCCTCGATGGGCATACCTAAATACGTTTGTACTTAAAGTACCACTTTGGGTACTAAATACACAAATACTTAGTATTTTGAGATGACTAAATACCCAAGTACTATTTACTTAGGTATTTAGGAGCTGCTAAATACCCAAGTACTATTTACTTAGGTATTTAGGAGCTGCTAAATACCCAAGTACTATTTACTTAGGTATTTAGGAGCTGATAAATACCCAAGTACTATTTACTTAGGTGTTTAGGAGCTGCTAAATACCCAAGTACTATTTACTTAGGTATTTAGGTGGTGCTAAATACTCAAGTAAAAAGTATTTAGGTATTTAGGAGCTATTAGATATTAAAGTAAGAAAAACTTGAGTATTTAGGAGCTGCTAGATACCAAAGTACAAAAAACGAAAGTATTTAGCAGGCGCTAAATACTCTGGTCCAAAGTACTCAGGTACCTTGGGGATGCAAAATACTTTCACTAAAGTACCAAGGTATTTAGTCGATGGCTAAATACTTTCAAACTAAATACTGTATAGTTTAGGAGAAATTTAAAGAATTAACACCTCAACTTACTTTACCACAACTCACTTCACCTCTCCTCAAATCAACTCACCACATACAAACTCACCACACCTCACCTAAACTCACCACACCTCCTACTGGTACACCAAAATCCGCCAAATCTTAACCCACCACAGTTGAACTCATCACACTCGTTCTGACCACACCTCACCTAAACTCACCACACCTCAATTTGGGAACTTTTTCTGGATTTGAGAGATACTTCAGACTAAATCAGGATTTAGAAGACCATTTCGGGGTTTTCGGGACTATTTTGGGATTTTCGAAGCTATTTCGTAATTCTTTAGGGATTCCCGGAAACTTTTTAAGATTTTCGGGATTTTCGAAACGACTTTCAAAATATTTAGGGATTTTTGGGACTAGTTTTGGAATTTTTGGGACTTTCGAGATTCTCGGAGTTAATAGCGGGCCTTTCGGCAGTATTTCGGTATTCTCAGAATTGTTGGGACTTTTGGACAATTTTTGGATTTTTAGGATTAATTTCTAGCTTTTGGGACTTTCGG